AGGAAACAGGCTTTTTTCAGCTTTTATTCCCATTATCTGTAGACTGTTGAGTCAGTCCCCAGAAGTACAGTTAAAGGCTGCAGAAGAGTGATAAAATATGCTATGAAATTATTAGAAAAGATACAATACAGGAAGAAAATACAGTATATAACATGGCACAAAACAGGTGTAAAAAGAGTAAAATGACTCTGAAAATAACAGCTCTGAAAATAAAAACTCTAAGTTTGTCATCTATTCCAGCAGAAAGATATAAAGATACAATTTAAAATGCAATGGAAAGCTTTGTGCTTCAGTCAGGTCCCATCAGTGATCTTTTCCTTATTTTAATTGCATGTAGAATACACTTTATAACAGTAATGTATATTAGATAAATTCAATGTGATTTGCCTAATGGGAAACTAGTGCAAACCTATTAAAGCCATGCATTAGGAGAATTTAGTGATCTGTATAAGATTATGCATTCCCATTTTAGTCCTCTTTTTTTTGCTTTACTCTTTTTCCTTTTTTTTTTTCCTCTTTCCTTCTTCTTCCTGACAGTTTCTTAGTTCTCAGTTTTACATAAAGATACAAATGATAATAGAAAACATGCTGTATGAGCTGGCAGGCTCCTGGTCAGCAGCAAAAAGTCCAGCTGGAGGCCAGTCACTAGTGGCCCTCAGGGACTGATATCAGTGCCAATACTATTTAAATCTTCATTAATGACCCAGTTGCTGAGATATCGTGATCAAGTTTGCAGACAACACAAAACTGGGATGACTGCCTGATATACCAGATGGATGTGTTGCTATTCAGAGATCTTGATAGTCTGGAGAAATGGGACAACAGGAGTCCCTTGAAGCTCAACAAAGGAAAATATAAAGTTCTTCAACTGAGCAGGAATAATCCCAGGCATCATTCTGGGCTACAGGCTGGAAAGAAGATTTGTGGAGAAGGACTGAGGTCCAGAAGTGCATCAAGCTGGACATCAGCTAGCAACATGTCACAAAAAAGGCCAGTGGCATCCTGGACTGCGTTAGGAAGAGCATTGCCAGTAGGCTGAAAGAGATGATCCTTCCCCTGTATACAGCACTGTGTGAGAAACATCTGCAGTACTTAGGTCTGGACTACTTCATGTAACAGAGACATGAACACACTTGGAATAAGTTCTCTTGGAACACAGAGGTCTCTTAGTCATTAAGACATTCAGGCACATTCATAACATTTTGCTGTGTATTCAAGGGCTGTCACTGGATTTAATACTTAAGATTTAAGACATAATGTATAAAATTCAGAAGATACTTTGAAGACTTTGCTGTAATGATGGCTGCCTTCTTGGACAGACCTATTTGTCCTTCCTCACTGACAAAAAAAAATGATCATCTAATTCATGCTGAATTCTCTGTTAACAAAAAGAAAATATAATCTTCAGAAACTATAATAATGTGTTCATGGAGAATCCATGTATATTCAGACATATATAATGACTACAAAGATATAATTTTACATGAACATAAACATGGACAGTCATTCTTGATTCAAAAATCCAAGCACAGGACAAGACATATAGTGCACTATGATTTTACTGCACAGGATGCATAGTTTCACTGATGGAAATCCATCTAGATATATTCTGAAAGGCTTACGTAAGGTATAAATCCTTACAGCTGAAGTGGAAGTGTGAAGGATTTTAATGAGGAAAATACACATTGGCTGAAAGCTATCTAGATGAATTAACAACTTTATACAAGGAGATATGTATACATGTATGTTAACATATAGTGAAAATACCATTCTTTATTGTCACCCCTTGAATTAGAGAATCAAGAAATGTTGTAATCTGGCTTGTATACTATCACAACATGAGTTTCCATTTGGAATGGTCATGCCTTCTGTTTTTCTGTTCTAAACAAATACAGATAAGTACAGGTGATAGGAGGATATGAAATAATAGAACAGGTAGCAAAGTTGTCATACATTAAAAATGTGATCATTCATTATGTGACTGGCAATATAACCCTTTATTTTTAATTACTTCCAAAGATCTCTCAAGTTCTAGCCTTCTAATAATTCTTAAGGTTACGTAAGGGAGATTAAAAAGGAAAAAGAATTTTGACTTTCACGGAATAAGAAAAATGACCCCATAATTCAAGTTTTCTCCTTTACACATACAGTGTAATGATCAGGAATTATTTATTGAAGGTTTTAAGGAGTCTGCTTACGTAGTGGATTGCATAGCCTCCAACATTTATTGTTTTTTTTTCTCAATCTTCATTGCACAGCATAGCATTGCATAGATTTCCTGAAGGTATTTAATTTGCTGGGGCTGTTAAGTATGCACGAAACCATTGAAGTGAAATCCTGACCAATGTGCTGTGACTGACATGTAATTCACCACTTAACCACTGATGTACATGATGTATTGAATGTGATATGAACAGAATCTCATCACTGGCATATTTGGGATCAAGCATTAGTCTTCTGTGCAGAGTTCTAAAATACTGTAGGGAAAGCTTTTACTGCAAATCATCACAAGTGAAGGCAATAGAACTTATTTCTAGTTATGAATGATCAATTCATGAGAAGTATTAATTAGCTCATTATTCCCTCAGAGTTGCTTGATCCTATCAGAACATTTGCCTTTTATTGTGATCCTTGAAAATAGTGCATACTGTGCAGCATATTCTAATGCTATTCTGGCTTTTAGAAAACACTTTGATCTTAAAAGTACTACAGAGTAAACATAAAATTCAGGGAAGGAAAGAAAACCTGATTTATGAGTTTTTTTTTAACTTGTCATATTTGGCAGAAAATTTCAGCCTTTTGGCTACCAAAATTGAATATATATATATATATATATTGTTTGTTTGTTTGTTTAATGATGCACCTGCATGCTTGATTCTACAGAGGATAACTTGTACCAAGGATGCCAGTCACTGTGACCACCAGTCACATCAATACTGGCCTATAACATGCATATTTCTGTTTGGATTGAATTGGCTACCTTTTTTATTTTAATGCCAGTGATTGAATAGGACTTTTGCCACAAGTCGAATAGGTGCTCTCAGTATTTTGTCAAAGTCAGATTTTAGATTGTTTGTCAAGTAATATTATTTATTTTCTTCATAGAATGCCACTGAGTATCACTAGTACAGAATACATATGTATATGTGTACGTACATATATGAATATACATATTCTAAAACATTAATTCAAGAAGTTACACACAGTGTATAAAACTGAAGAAATTCCCGCATAGGTCATCGCTTTTGTGGACAACCAGTTTTTTTGCCAGTTTTTTGATGTTTTCTTATTTATGCTGATACAAATATTGATTTGCACTACTGACCTTGGATGCCAGTTTATATTTCTTGTCGGGGATCTAATTCAAAGCCTGATGGAAAGACACTGACTGTTTTTAGGAAACCTTGAATAATCCTCTAAACTTACACAGCATAAGAAAAAAACTTTTCAGTGCAAATCAAAGCTGAAAAATCTTTTTTTCTCATTCTCTCAAAATAGTAATCATTTTTTGTAAACAATAACTCACCCTTTCCATACAACATTTCCCAAACTGTTATGAGACCTCAACTGTTGTAAGAGTAGCATCAGGAGAAACTTTAAAAGGTATTGGTATGCTTAGAAACATTTTTTTTTTTTTTTTAAATATATATAACTTATGACATTTCCCATCTTTGATACCATTCTGCTATGCTTCATTTCTTTCATCTGAGAAGCAAAAGCACTTAGAATATTTTCAGGAATACACATAATTGTAATAAACACAACAATATTGTAACAATTGTTCTTTAAAGCAATAATATTATTGTTATGATATAAATTTCCATAAAAACATATGCTGTTTATAATAGATATATATGAAAGAGAGAAGGAAAGGGAGAGAGAGAGAAAGAAAGAGTGAGAGAGATAGAGTTATTGGTATTTGTCTACAACAAATATAACAAAAATATAACCTAAAGAAAGTATTACATATCTGCAAGGAATTTTTTTGTTCGTTTTTGCAACAATTCATTAGTGCACAACTATTTACAGTGCAAGATGTGAATCAGAAATGGTTGGAAATGAACAGCTTCTAGCACTAGTAGAAAGGTCTTTGATTTTTCACAGCTTTAACTTCTTTGCTGTTGCTGTTTTTGGCTTGTTTGGTGAAGGGGGTTTTAATATGATTAACTATTTGAACTATGTATCTTCATGGAGAGAAAAGCAGTCATACCTTGTGAGATACCAAGATACCCTTCAATGGACTTGCAGCTTTCCTTTGAAATTTCCAGTATAATAATACTGCATTTAAAATGCAAGCTTAATCAAACCCTGTTGACTTCACCAAATATTCACATAGATTTTATTTGCAAAGGAGTGCCTTTTTCTCACTCAACAATTTAAACGATATGATTTCGTTCTGAAGACTCATTTAAGCAGAATAATTGTAATCAACAACACTTACCTGATTATGTGGAATAGAGGTTATACTGTTATTTTCCAGCTCAAGACCATGCAATAGCCACTTTAAAAAAATAATGCAATGTTTGAAATTTATGAAAACTAAGTTTAAGCTAACAATGCTTTAGAAAGAGGCTTCTAGAAAGAGTTAGTGCAATTTGCTACTTTATTTGTGGTTAAAAGAAACATGCCATAAAAAATGATTTATAGACAGGTACTGTGTATAGGCTATGAGGGTTAGGTTGGTTGATATGTAACGTTTAGCTGCTATAAAAAATAATCAAAATGTAAGTACTGCATTCTATCCTAAAAGAATGACAAGCCTCTTTTCATAAAGAGAAATCGGTTGCATGGCTGTCATACTCTCACCAGCATACTTAAAGTACTAACAGAAATCGGTGCCACACAGAAAAATGGATCAAGCATGAATCAATGTGGCAAGCACATAACCAAACAGACAAGGAATTAAGGAAAAAAACAAAAACAAAGCAACAACAAGAACAACAGAAAAAAAACAAAAACAAAAACAAAACAACAACCCACAACAAATATTGTCGCTTAACCTGGTTTGTCAGAGCTGGTATTGATGGTATTGGTAGTGATGGAAGTGAAGGTAGTCTTTGCGCTGTCCTTGGTAGTAACAGATTTCTGCTTATTTTTCATGGCTTCCAGTGCTTTGAGCTTCTTGGCATGTTTAGTGCCTTTGTAGTGGGCCGCAGCCTGGCTCTACAAAGGAGAACAAAATGAACCATGCAATCAGGCTCATTTCTAAACTGGCATTCTCTGTATTAGTACAAATACAGACTACCTTTCAATAATGGGTACCATTCACATTATCCAAATGGGAAATTATATTTAGAATGATGCTTGGAAAACACTGGAAAAACTACCCAAACAACCCCTATTGGATGAATGCAGTATATTACTGTATAACGATATATTACTTCCAGACCAAAAATAAGGATGTTTTAGTCTCCATGCTTCAAACACGTATCTTCATTGGTTTTTCTATCAAGAAAAATTTCGCTTTTGCATTAAAAAAAATATTTCTCAGGCAATAGGGAAGAAAGCACTTTTCACTTTTCCAATTTCTATGAAAAACTAGATATTTAGCTAAAGTTTCTGTCTTTCAAAGAAGAGTTTACACTTAGCAGTGCTATCAGGAATTTCTCAAATAGAAAGTAAAGACTGGAAGTTAAGAGCAAACCAAAAAATTCCAAACAAACCTCAAAGCAAAAGCTACCATGCCCCAAAAAAGAAAGCAAAACATAAATCACATAAGTTATCCTCTTCAAAGCCCATCACCAAAGATCTAACTGAATCTTAGGCAGCTGTGCAATTATCTGTCTTTAAGCAATTTTAGTCCACCTGCTACAAATGGTAGCATTTGAAATTCAAAGCCAGGAGCATCCAAAGGAGAAACCTTATTGAAATCTTGTCAGAGCGCCAAATATGTTTTGGCTACCTGATATCATTAATCTAAAACAGATTTGAATGTGCGTTGCTATTGAGATTTATGTGCTATACTGAAACAATATTAACTATTCCATAATTTAATACAAAAAAAAAATCATTTAATTCATGTTGTATGTATATTTTAAGAGTAGTATTTGAAGAATAAGATTAAGTTTTACCAAAAAAAAACCAAAAAAACAAAAAAAAACAAAAACCCAAACACTGGAACTAATAAGAATATTCAGGGCTTTTTTTTCTCTTATATTTAAATTTTTATAAGAAAGATAGTCTTACTGTTACTAAAATAATAATTAGATAAATTCCTTATAATTTTACTGCTGAAATTCAAATTTAATTGAAAGCAACTCCTTTCTTACTTGAAGAAATTTATTGAGAATCTCAGATAATCCTCAAAGTTTAACTACCACAGAATCAAACAAATGAAAAGCAGCTAGGCTGGGTTAGCCCAAGGAGACATAAAGGTCAGTATTTTGTTTCTGAGATCAAAAAATAACAGATGCTTAGCGTGAATATATAAAGTAAATGCACTTTATTGTGTAATCACAAGAGGAAAAAAACACATCACTTAGTACCTGCTAACTCAAGGATCAAAGGGATAAAATGACACAGTTGCTTCACTCACTAAACCACTTCTACAAGGTAGAGAACTGCATTTTCTGGCATTTTTCTGGCATCTGTTAATCATTAGACCTTTATTTAATGCTGCCTGTGCTGAATTTTCGGAAGAGAGAAAGTTCTAGTAAATGTAACAAGTATATATTAATTATTTCAAGATTTATGGTTTTCAGCATTCATGAAAAGTCCTGATTCTTTTCTGAACTGAGGGAAGTTCAAGATGGGGAGATGAGATGTAAGAGAATTGATTTAAAACAATAACTACATATACATGTATGTGTATATACACATAAATATATGCTCTTGTTCTATATTAAGATGCATCATTCCACTTGGTTGAAATGCCAGTTTCTCTGTATCTAAAATAATGCAAATATTGTAGTAGGTACCCTTATTGAAAGAACACTGGACAGTGAAGTTATTAATTAGAAACAACTTGAACAGAAACAGCACAATCATGCACCTTTTACAATTCAGAACACATAACACCGAGACATACTGTAAGCCAAATACAAACAATCCAGAGATGTTAATTGCTGTTAAACTGAAAAACCAGTGTCAGCTTATGATGATGCATTAAAAATGACATTAAAAAGTACAGCCTTATGATGAGATTGTGTCAACTGTATTTATTGTTTCTAGAGTCAAATTTAATTATCAGACAGCTTCAGTTACTTGTTTTCCCTAACTGATAGTGTCACTTTTCAAATAACAGAAAGGTAGTTAGAACATGATCCTAAATACTGGAATATGAACACTGATTTTAGTTTGGCACACAGCTCAATTTTTTTCACAGAATTACTGGAAAAACACCCCAGATTTCTGTGTCCTGTATCCACAGAATTTACTCCAAATTCTCACAGCTACAGCTCTACAAACCTCTACTCAAAGTGCTGGATGCACAAGGAATGAAATTAAAGCTTTATGTAGAAATTCATAAACATTCTAGTGTTCTGAAACATATGAGCATAATTGTTCTGAAGTAGAAATACATTGCTGCTATATAGAGTTGTCCTTTACTCACTTCGCAGAGTGTTGCCACTTTATACAGCTTCTACTAAGATCTTTATGCTTTTTATATTTCAAAGCTTAAATCCCCCTTCTCTGAACTTGATATAACAGTAGTTGTCAGGTTAACAGTAATTCTGTGCAAGAAAATAATCCCTAAGCATTTAACCTACTCAAAATTAACATAAACTCAACTTTTACAAATGAACTGGAATCCTAAATAAGAGTCTGTTATTGTATTTCCTTGCAAGAGTGGGATAGGGGAAACATAATGACTATACCCTTTCACAAAGATGAGCAGGAGGTCTCATTCTGAAACACTTCAGAACTTTAAGAAACTATATCTACTCTTGAAAAGATGTCTAACAAGAAAGTAAAATGTATGTTACTAATTTGAATCTGAAATTGAGGACCCACTGATGCTTAACTACATTCTGAGAGGTTCAATCATGCAAATCACATGTGGATAAAATTTGTTCTACATGAATTGCTTCAAAACCAAGGAAATGGCAAGATGTCTAAATGGCAATTCACTTCACAAGGTTATACATAAAGAAGTCATACCGATTTCAGTGACACAGTTCAGTTTAAGCATCTTTTTTGCAAAGCAGAGAATTTCTTTGGCTTCTATGCACATATGATGATTTATTAGCAACCTTTCTAATCTATATATTTTCCAGACTTCACAAATGTTTAGAATAAAAAACTGTATTTACCTACATTAAAAAAATATTCATTATGAATTCACAGACACACACATACTACAAAAGAATAACCACTGTATTTGCAGTTTGTATAGTTACATCTGACAGCAGTAAGAAATAACAGCCAGTGTCAAAACTCAGCTGCATTTTATTCTTTTTTGCTTAAGTGAAATTGTACTACAATTGCTATAAGGACATCATATTACTAAGCAATTTGTAAGGAGTAAAGTACAATGAGAAATATAGGAGATGCTTTAAAAAATCCAGACAGTACTCTCTTACAATAACAGACATCATATCTAAACAAAAGTCCTCAAAATAAGTTTGTCAGTCTGACTAATTTACTCCAGTGAATCATACAATTCTTACTTATATTTCTTGGGCACTGGATAAAGAAAAACATCCCACTTAATTTTGAGTGTCGAGGCACAAAAGGATTTTCAAAGAATTTTCAACTTAGCAGCACTGCATCCTCTATATTTTTAATATCCATCTAGTTCCACCTCATATCATCTTACAGATTGGTTTCCTGCCTCTTTCATTTCTTCAAGGCAGTACCTTTCTAATAAAAGCAAGCTCAAATAAAAGAAAATTTTTTTAAAGTGTAATTGGTACACTCCACTGATTCTTCGTTGCAGAAATTTAACCCAAGTATCTTACACTGTCATCTCAAAATATATTATGAAAGCTGTCCATCATGGAGAATGCTATATTCAGTGTTTTTAGGTGGCAAATTACTACTGTTAGAAAGCTCTAACAAGAGCTAGAAGGGCTGGAAAGTCTTTTTTGTTTGAGATTTTAGTAGCTCACATCATGTCTCTGTTTTTACCAGCCACTGGATGCTACAATCACTTCTGCTGTCACTCCCAGTACAACAGAAGCAATTGATGTCAGGATCTCCCAGAGTAAACCATAGACTATAGTTGACCAGTGTTGACACTTAGCTACCCACACAGGGAAAGCATTGACCCAGATGCATATGGCAAGAAGAGGGTTTCTGTTCTTCGGTGTAACAAGGGAAATTGTTTATGAGATGCCTGTGCTACACATTATCTTAATCACCATGTACAGGTAATCTTCTTGAAGTTGGTCTGTCAATAAATACTTCAAATATAATATGATAGATGTTCTAATCGCAAAAGAAATTGATCTAAAACAAAAAGACCTTTAATTTTTGGAACAGGCATCATACTGACATAAGTATTTTACTAATGGATCTAAAGTTGCCAGGTTGACTGCCAGTCTGGCTACGCAGTGATCAAAGAATCACAGAATTGTAGGAGTTGAAAGGGACGTCTGGAGATCATCACGTCCAACCCCCTGCTACAGCAGGTTTCCCATAGCAGATAGCATAGGAAGGTGACCAGGCAGATCTTGGATATCTCCAGAGAAAGAGACTCCACAAACAATTTGAGCAGCCTGTTCCTGTGATCTCTCACTCTGACAGTAAAGAAGCTCTTCATTGTGTTAATATGGAATTTCTTGCATTCCTGTTTCTGCCCACTGTCTCTTTTAGTTTTGCATACCACCAAAGAGTCTGCCACCATCAACTTGACTTCCACACTTTAGATATTTAAAAAGCACTGTTGAGATCCCCCCTCAGCCTTCTCTTCTCCAGATTGAAGAGTCCCAGGTCTCTCGCTTTTCCTCATACCTGAGATGCTCCAGGCCCTTACTCAACTCTGTCACCCTCCATTGGATTATCTCTAGAAGTTCCCTGTCTTTTTTGATCTGAGGAGCCCAGAACTGGACATAGTATTCAAGATGTGGTCTCACAAGTAGGGGAGGATCACTTTCCTCTTCTTCCTGGCCACACTCTTTTTAATGCACCCCAGGATAACACTGTCCTTCATGGCCACAAGGGCACGCTGATAGCTCATGGTCAACCTGCTGTCTACCAGGACACCCAGGTCCTTTTCTGCA